TCGAGGTCTGGGCTGCGTCTTAATGCAAATGAAGGAGCTTTGCATAGTCCAGTGCAGCCGGCGACAGTCAATATGGAGCTGAACGCATGTCAGACGGGGGGGGGTTTAAAGTCCCCTGAATGACTGGACCATGGAAGATGTGATTCTTTTGGAGTCATTCTCCATTTTCATGTAGTGATGGACCAACTTGAGCAGCGGTAAAGGGAGGCAGAGAGGAGGGTTTTGGCCTGACACTGACCTTGGTTATAACAAGAGATACACAGAGAAAGCACTCTGTGATCGTTTATATGGACTGGATATCCACTGCCTCGGTCTGTGCAGAGCCTCGGCGCTGTGCACTCTGATTGAGGTTGACTGCAGTATTATTTCATTAATTAAGTTTTTCCACTTCCTCCGCCTCTCCCTCCTGTCTTCCTGTCGAATGAGGGTGTCGCAGCGACGCCCTTCCTCTCCTCTGTCCTCTGGCGCTTCACATCCCCCCCATCACTGCTGATCATTGTCTCAATTACTCATCGCTTCTCTCCCTCCCTTGTCTCCCTCTTTCTCTCTCGCTGTTCTTCCTCCTTTCTCCTCTTATCTCATCCCAAATTGCTGTATACACTCCTCCCTCCCTCCCTCTCTTTCTCTCTTCCTGTCCTTCCAAAAAGCTTTCAGGCAACCATTCCTACATCTTTTCGCGGCCCTCATTTCTCTCTCTCATCAGGATTTCACAGATGTTCTGTGATTATTTCTACCTTGATTTGGTGATATCTCCCCCCCCCCCCCCCCCCAGCCTCAAGTGCAACAGAATATTCATCATTTTCAGGTGTAAAAACTGAGATTGGAAGGCTGAGTATTATGGGTACAAGGACAAATCAGTGATGATCTCTTTGTCGCTTTGTTCCTGTAAAATTGACTTTCATAGAAATAGCAACGCCTGTAACACATCTAATGGATTCAAGAGGATTTGTCATTATACAGTTCAATGTTTTAACCAAAATTACCTTGGGGATATTTGTGACCTGTTGATTATTATGTTAAAAAAAATTACTAGATTCTGCAAAATCACATTCAAAGAGGCTCTTTTGGTTGAATTTAGCTCCCCTGCTCTCAGTCTCTGTCCCTTTCAATGTCTCACTATTCTTTGTATCCATTACCGCTCCACTTTCCTGTAATGGAGACATTAGAGTCCTTTACCTCTCTGCTATCTATCATGTCATTTAAACTCTTTCCTTACTTTCTGTTTTTAAGTTCTCCTCCTCCTCCTCCTCCTCCTCCTCTGTGTCCACTGGGCTCTGGGTCATCTCCTTTCTCTCACATATAGTCTCCTGCCCACATCATATCACCAACAGCTTGTCAAAGGCAATCAGCCGTCCAGCCTCGCCTCCTTCCTTCCTCCTCCTCCTCCTCCTCCTCCTCCTCCCCCTCCTCCTCTCCTCGCTCTCGTCTTCCTCACCTCCCTTGTCTCCTGTCACCTCCTCGTCCTCTTCCGTGTGTCAGAAGTTATTACTCTCAGAAATCATATTCCCTCCACCCTGTCTCTCTCAGACCAGTTAGGGGTATTTACAGTGTCCTCCATTATATTCCATAATCACAGCTACTACACTCATATCCCCCCCCCACCCGTCCTGGGATGTTGTGTATTGTCAGTACATGGCAGATATATTTCAAATAGATTATAAATGTAAAATCATTCATATTATAAATTAATAATTTTGCTTTCAAACTCTTTGCCTGAGGACAAGAATATGTAACAAGTAATGTTCATTAGATAAACATCATTATGAATAAAATATTAGAGATAAATGAAACCAGTGCAGTTGGATTCAGTTAGTATGTTTAAAGATTACATCCAGTGCAGAATCTGTAGGCTCAATTCCTGACTTATTTGATCTAATTAAAGGGACAGTTGTATACGGTACTTGTCAAATTAGCCACAGGAGCTAATATAGCGGTAAGCCAGACCTCTTTAAGGAGAGATCAGCCAGAGTGCCTGAACGGAAGCTACGCTAGACAGTGCAAACGGGTCATGTGTACCATATCATTTACAGAAGAAGACATAATGTGGTGCTAAAACAAAGTGGTTTGCTGACACTACATTCCAACTTTAGTAGTTCTTAAAGCTAGCTAACTGACGTGGTGCAAATGGCCCTGTCTGCATAGCTATGTAGCCTTTAGCTTCAGTGCAGGCCCTCCCCCCTAAAGGGGCTAAGATGTGTGGCGAAAATACTTAAGTGAATGACAAGTACCTCATAGAACCCCCCCCCCCGCCCAGTGCCACTAGTCTGAGTCTAAAAAAGGGGGCCGCCGGCTTTGGAGGACTATAGCCTCTGTACATGGGGCACGCTATGTTATCCTGACTGCCAACTTTTCAGGAGTTCAAGTGTCACCAGAGCTTAACCAAAAATCACTTCAGGGCATGACAAGCTTTTCTGTGTGTTGCCTTTGTTTACAGACGGCGAGCTAGCAGCTTGAACATTGAAGTTGAAATATGACATCTAGGTCTAGGAGCAGATTGTTAGCTGTGTTTTCATGCAGATATTTGTTGACAGAGATTATGTAAAATTAAATAGTCTTCAGGATAGCAGCTGCTTTTTTTTTTAAACTTCCAACAAAGACAAGGCATAACCTGCAGAAACACTACTGCACAATACTACTCAGACCGCTAACAGAAAGCAGAATTCTTCCAACATCCTGTACCTGCCTGGAGATTCTGCATTTATACGCTGAATCTGTTAAAAGAGATAACCATGATGTTTGCTCATTTGAACCCAACTCTCTTTAACTCAAAGAAAGGGCTTGTTTTAACAGAGTGAACATAACAACCAGAAAGAGTCAGAACATGTTTCAGAGCAGTGATGAACACAAACAGTTTGTTTGAAATGGTCTTTAATGCCAGAAAACATATTTCTTAAGCTAAAGCTCTGTATTTTTGGAAGCTCCCTGTTATAATCAGCTAATTCTGTTCATACCACAGAGGAAGAAGAGCATAAGAAACCTTGAAGCTAAAAAGCAAAACGTGTTTATATGAGTGTTTTTGTGTGACGATTAATCTTTTCCTTCCACATCAGAAAGTCCTCTCCTTGTCCCTGGAAAACACCTCTCCACACTCTGAAGTCTACATCTGAGCAGCCAAAGATATAATAAAGACTGAAGTATTTATCATTTACAAAAATAAGCCGTCTTCTAACTGTAGGCGGCACACTTTTTTTTTTTTCATATTTGAACTTCATTGAAAAGAAACATAATCTCCTCCTACTTTGACATCAAACATTAGCAAGGTCTCATGATTTAGAGGATGAGGTAATGCTGTAAATAGCAGAAAAGCTTCACCCTAAAGTTTCTTCATTCTGTCTTTATATATCCCTCCATCTATCCCTGTCTCCTGGATTTCCCACCATGCTGCTGTTCACCATGACCTCCGCCTGCTTCTCTCCTCCTCTGCTTTCACACTCTGCATCCTGCAGGGATGGAGAGACAGACAGAGCGAGAGAGAGGAGAGAGGGGAGAGAGAGAGGGAGGTGTTAGAAGTGAAGCTGCCTCTTTTTCACACCTCCATTTCGCTCTCCGGAGCCTTCCGCCATCCCTCCCTTTCTGCCTCACTTCAGACAGGCTAATCTATAGCCTGGAGCGGAGTGGCGGGGGGAAAATGATTTTTTATATTTCTTTAAGGAGACAAGGTGAGGGTTAGCCCCAGGGGCTATAACAAGGAAAATAAGGAGAGACGTGTGGTGTGTGTGCGAGGGTGTGTTGACTGGTCGGTAGAAGGACGAAGAACTTGTTTAATTTTTTTTTTTCCTGTGTCAACACAACCGTCCTTTCACCTAGTCGAACTTTTCAGCTAAAAATAGTTGCAGGTTGTAAAACTGTAGCCAAAGAAGAGGTTTTTTTTTTAATTTTGAAGGCCTCTCTCTCCTCTTCGCCTGACCTCCTTCCTGTTCCTCCCCTCATACATGTGCTCTGCTTCTTATCCATCCCTCCATCCTCATTCTCTTTGTGTGCTGCTCTCCTCCTCCTTCAGCCTCTGTGACCTGCAGAGCAGTGATCTTTAATGCATCCGCCGACATGCTTTATGTAAGAAGTGTTAGAGTGTTACAGGACTTCCTGCACACACTCCCTCCTCCTGCCTGTGCTCTGTATCAACACCACTTGACCTCCTCTGGCCTCCTCCTTTAGCATATAAAAAAAAGATCCATGAACAGGTTTTGTTGCTAATTTGACTCCAGCACTGTAATTCTAGTATATTAATTGATGTGTAGCATTTTATCAGTGCATGGGGGAGCTTCTTTCACAGCATGAAAATGCATATTAAATCCCCCATGGCATGTATTAACACATCAGTCCCTCAGTTTCAAGTAAAAAAAAAAACAAGTTGTAATTCCTTTTAATTAAAACATAAGCGCTGAAAGTGATGGGGTATTAACAACTTTGAGCTTTAACTCATTAAAAACAGTCTGTTCATTTCCAACCAATCAGATCTGGTTTCTCTCCACACACACTGTTTTGTGTCTCAGGGGCTCTATTTTTTTTTTTTTTTTTTACTTCTTACGCACTTCTGATTGGATTACCATCCTCTTTTTTCCATTAGCCAGTCTCTGCCTCCCTAAATCACCCCCCACCCCCCCCTCTCCTGCTATTTCTCCAGCCCGCGCAGCAATTGCAGTTGACTGAAAGCGGTTGAGTCCATTGCGGCGCAGCGGGGGTGTTAATGAATTCCAGCGGACTGCTAAATGAGGACTTATTAAAGTGCTGCCGCCTCGTAGTTTGACATTTCAGAGCTTCTGGTGGAGTTTTAAAATCGCTGCCTCTGCAAATGTCACTTGCTGACTCTCTGGAACGGCCGTCCATATGAATAGAAACAAGTGTTGGCGTCGGATATAGATCGAAAAAAGAGTGAAGTTTGTTGCTTTGTTGCATGTATAGGTTTCTACTTTGTGTGTGTGTGTGTGTGTGTTTCTGCATTCATATCTATCACTCTTCTACTTTACTAATTGTGCACATCTCTGTTTCCTCTCCTCCAGCTACGTCAGATGGGACGCGCCAAGGCCTGGATAGCATGAGGGGGCGGAGTCTGTGCCACACAGGGCATGAAGGTGGTGCTGAAAGTGGGGCAGAGTAAGTTTTCACACCTCATCGCTACATCACCACATACACACACTGTGAGCCCTCCCATATGCATGACTCCAGCAAACACACATGGATTCTTCCATTTCTCACACACTCATCATCATCATCATCAACACACACACACACACACACACACATTGTTATTAATGCTTCACACACAATTGCACTCCTAAGTAACAGTATGACTCACACACACTGACTCCAGTTCACCACATCTCCCACCATCTCCCATCTGTACAGTCCAGAGCGGCTCACATTCTTATCTTTTATCGTCCTTTTCTCTCAACACACACACACACACACACACTTAAAAAAGACACATACGCGTCCATGACCTCTTTGTGTGTGTGTGTGTTCTCACTCGGAGTATTAGGGCTTGTTAAGTGGTGAGAACAGCGGAGAAGTGTGGGATCAGTCAGCTCTAATGAGCCCTGTTGACTCCCCTCTCACTCTGCCTTTTAACTACTACCGACTCATGCTGGACACACACACACACACACACACACACACACACACACACACACACATATATTTCTGTGCAGTATACTCATTAAAGGCGCAAACATTAAGCTCACGCAAGCAACTACATGAGCACGAACATGGCCACAGACTGCGTCCATTGGAGGACACACAAACACACACAAGAACACACACATTTCCCCCACACACAGCAGACCTGCCAGCTACAGCGCGATAACAAAATGAGTCCATTCAGTGTTAAAGCACACAGTCAGGGATTTTTAATGACTCGTGGCTGCACACACCTCTAATTTGTTTGGAAAATATTCACAGGTAATGACCCACACATGCCGGCTCTTTCTCAGGAAAGCAGCAGGAGAAAAAAAACAACCTTTTTAAGCATTTTTACTGACCTGTGCATTCCTACACATAATAGGCACCTGTCCTTCATACGACTCCCCCCCCCCCACACACACACACACACACACACAGGCCTTGTGTATTGTTAGTGCTCCTCATCAAAAGGGCCAAATGGCGCTGCAGTGGCTCTATCAGCCCAACACATCAACATAGTCAGCTCAGCTCAATAGAAAAACCTACACACACACTTCCTGTCCCCTGGCCTTTTCACTACTCAGGCACACACACACAAACCCTTTTGCTACATTTACACAACACTATAACACTTTCCATCCTGCTTCATCTTTCCATCTTCATCTCTCCTCCCCTCTGTCCTTCCTTCACCTCTCCTCTATTCCCTCTGCATTTCCTTTTTCTCTCTTCTTTTTTTTCTCCATCCTCTTTTCAATTGAGCGACGTTGCTCGCTTCCTTCTTTCAAATTCCCCTTTTCCCCGTCCTCATCACTTCCCGTTCATTTTTATGCACGCCGGCCATCTTCTCCTCACAACTGTCCCACTCAATCCCCCCCCCCTCCTCTCAGTTATTTTCACTCTCCTCCTCTGTCTTTCTGTCTTATCTTGCTGCGTGGCTGAAAGGTCACGTCTGTGTTGTTTGTCGTCTAAATAAGCGGCGTGCCGGCTCGTGGTGATCTCTGATGAGATATGGCGCTCTGCTTTCGCTCTGAGGAACACACACACACACACACTCACTCGCACACTCTCAGAAAACTCACACTTTCACCCTCAGCCCACACACATTCATTGCCCTGTCTTCTCTTATTTTATTCTTTATCTATCTTGCTTGCGCTCCGTCTCTGTCACACACACACACACACACACACACACACACACACACACACACACACACACACACTTTCTCTCTCTCACACACACACTGTCTGAACCTAGCCCCTGCTGACCACACACTTGAGACTATAGTGCAGGGGCAGTTTCTATTGATCCAGACAGCACCGCCCCTAGCTTCTGTTTGGTTGATTGTCATGAGGGAGCTGCCAGCCAATTGCCTCGCTTTACTCTAAATGTCAGTATGTATAGGTTGATGGCTGTGCATGCACACACACACACATACACACACATACTTACCACTTTGTGCATTGGTGAAATCAATGCATGTTTGTGTGGGTTTTCACTGTGCAGTTTTCATCCATAAGCACCCTGTGGTCAGATCTATTTTTTGCTCTCTCCCTCTGCTGTGATGACCAATAGCAGACTTTCTTTGTAGAATGTTGCATAAAGTGCAGCGCTGAATCGTCACATCCCGGTATATAGCACTCTATTCTTGCAGTTCTCAGCCGGGCCAGATGGCTCGGAAGCGTTCAAAATCAGAATTTTTCTGAGCCACCTCTTTCAGCAACGAGGAGTGGCACTTCTACAATAGCTGCATGTGTGTGTGTGTGTGTGTGTGTGTGTGTGTGTGTGTGTGTGTGTGTGTGTGTGTGTGTGTGTGTGTGTGTGTGTGTGTGTGTGTGTGTGTGTGTGTGCGTTTGCATGTGTCACAGAACTACTTTAATGCCATCACCATTACTGAGGGCTTGCGAGACAGATGGCCTTATTTAGCGAATACAGATTACAAGCCGTTATGGCCTTGTGTAAATTCACTGTGGCCAAAACAACAATCGGCCGCTCTTTAGTTTCCCATTCTGACAAATGGAAAAGTGCTCATACACAGCACAAGGAGGCCCAATCAATATGTGCTCTCCTGTAATGGGAATGGAAGGGAGGGAAGCCTTTAATAAAGCTCCTCTGGTTGATTTCTCCTTCTGGCCCGCTCCTTGTTTGCTAATGTCACTTCGTGCTTCCAATCCTGAGAGCCTTGGCTGTTAGAGGAGATAGAGGCTGTTTCTGTATTTTTTTCTGCCATTTTTCTCATAGTCCACTGTTATTATTATTTTTTTCTTCCATAGGCCAATATGGGCTGCCTCCGAAGAAAGATCCGCCAGCGGGACGCACCACCAGCAGAAACCCAGGTAAGCAAAAAGACCAAATGGAGATAATCCTCTGCGGATCCATCCTGCAAAATGGATGGAGGGAATAAGTGAAGACTGGTAGATAGAAAGAAAGGCAGCAGGGAGAGGGAGGGAGGAGGCGACAGATGGAGAATGTGCAGCGGTGACATCTGTGGATCTCTCTATTTAATTCCGTATCCTCCTCTCTCTTTCTCTCTCTCTCTCGCTCTATCCCTCTCCTCCTCGTCTCTGCGCCGGCCCTCCTAGCTAAGTGCTGCAGGCGGGGAATGGATGGCTAATAGCTACCTTGGGAGAAGGATGAGAAAAAGAGAGGGAGCGAGAAGAAAGAAGCAGGAGGGATAAGAGAGAGAGGGCAGCAGGAGAGAGAGAGAGAGATAGAAAGAGAGAGAGAGAGAGAGAGAGAGAGAGAGAGAGAGAGAGCCGGACCGGCGGCGACATTTTGGAGAATTATTATTGTCATTAGTTTGGCTGGCCTGGATTCTGTAGTTGTGTTCAGAGAGAGGGAGAGAAAGAAAGAGAGTTAGAGGAAGCACATAAGGAGGAAATAAAAAAATAATAATTGAAAAGCAAAGAGGAGAAGGGAATAGAACAAGGAGATGTAAATGTAGAGAGTCGGTGGAGGAGAAAGAACACACTTTGTGTTCATCTCTCCTTTGATTGTGAATCTGTGTACTATATCAAACGTGTGAATTGGTGTATTCACACATTGTTTTATCACATGTCCATACCTCAAATAGGTGAGAAATGTATGTGTGAAGTAAGCAACAATAGGGTGCATTGTTTTTTGTTACAAGAATGACACAAATAACACCGGACACACTCAACAAAGCTTATTTACATCACACGCATAATGACACATTTCCCTGTCAGACAAAGACGCATCAGCACACACTTGACTGAATTCATTTTTTTAAATGAACGTGAATACAGTTGAAAGCATCTAAATTACTAACTGTTAGATAACAGTGGATTCACAGCCTCTCATTTTGTGCAAGATGCATTCACTGGACTACTAGCACAAAATGCTTTCTGGATCTGTGTTGTGCATGAAAGCACTGGATAAAGTATGAGTGTAATGTTGAATATGCAAAAGTATAGAACTCTAATATGCCTCCATTTTCACTCCCAAGCATTACAAGTTATAAACGATCAATAGCGGTGGGTCAACACATCCGGTGAGTGTTGGGAAAAAAGCACTGAGGAGATGATGAGCATAAATAATCATAAGTCATGTCTGTCTTGGTTTCTAAAGTCATAAATAATCGTTCATTAAGTTACAGAGTGGGCAGTAGCTGTGGATGGATAGGTAGGAGGAGGTTTCAAGTTCAGAGAAAGCTCATTAGAATTTTTTTTTTTTTCGGCCCGTAAACTTAAAATTGAAATTCATGAACAAGCTCATTTTGTATTTGTATGAACTTTGAGCTCGTGTGAACTTGAGGAACCCTGGTCTAGACAGTTCTGCACATCTTTTTTCTTTCCTGCTTCAGTAGAGTAAAAACTCTGAGTAGACATCACAAAGACTGAAAACTTGCCACTAAGGTTGTTGATGGATTGTGGATTCTGTTTAAGGTTTTTTTGGGGGCTTTTTACGCCTTTATTTAGAGGTAGGATCGGAGATGGAGTCAGAAATCTGAAAGAGAGAGAGAGTGGGGAGTTCTGTGCTGGAAATGAGCCACAAATGGGACTCAAACCTCAGCCGCCCCTTCGTACATGTAATTTAATTTCAAACTTTTATAGGTTTGTATGATTTACAGCGATGGCGAGATATAAAAAAAAAAAACACATATAAAAACGAGAAAGATGGAATGATTCTCTGTAAAAATAATCACACACTGTGGGAAACTGGTTTAAAATCATTGTCTCAGTTTGTGCAGAAAAAACAAAAGAGTGTTGTAAATTATTCCACATCTCTGGAGCGAAAAAGCTAATCATGGATATTCAAAGTTCAGTTTGAAGCAATAGACAGTCAGGAGAGCGAGTTTGAAGGTTCTGGTGGTCCAGATCAAATTTTATTTAACCTTTATTTAACCAGGTTGGTCCCATTCAGATTAAAAACCTCTTTTTCAAGGGAGACCTGGCCAAGACAGGCAGCAGCAAAAACACAAAGTTACAGACGGAAATACAAAGAGAGACAAGTTACAATTTACAAAGCACAACATTTAAGATTAAAATAAAACCATCTATGAGTCAAATCTGGGAGTCAGTTGTTCAAACAGCCGAGCTAAAACATTGACATCCTATAGAATCTGCTAAGAAGTTGCACGTCCAATAAGGGATTTAAAGATAAAGAGATACTGTACATGTGTTCTTTGTGTATACAGAATAACAAAGTCAGTTGGTCTTCATTGGGCATGCGCACTAACCACGAGGCTACCAGTGCCCCACATCTTTGATTTTCTGCCAAATCTTAAAATAGCCGAGTATGTTCTCAGAATTAAAGAAGTCAAAATTTTCCTCCAATATCAAAATATTCTGGTTGATTTTTTGATTGTACAATGCAAACAGTAAGCCAGTAGCCTCCACTAGAAATGTTAAGCAGTTGCAGGACTGTTTTATTTCAAGGAGTGCTATTTTAGCTTCATATGATGGAGGCCTGGCATCGTGCATGACATGACAGTAATAAGATAATTCATTTTGGCAATAATGAAAGAAGAAAAAAACTATAACACAGTAAATGACGTAGCTTGTCAAGTAGACTCTGCCCATTATCAGTACAAACCCATATATAATGTTTTGTTGTGAAATAACCAGATGTTTTTTTTTAAATAATAATGAAATATAATATTCATTAGAAGAAGATGAAACAGAGAGTAGACAGGGCGATGGTGTCAGGAGTTTATGCAACCACAAAGTCCCATGTGCGAGTCCAGATGGAGGCACTGGCTGCACATAACATCCCCTTCAGCATCACCAACGTGTTTGAAAAGTGAATACAGAGTTCACATAGATAGGAAAGACAAATACATAAAGAGAAAATGAAGAATAAGAAAATGATAAACAGGACATGATTTGATGTAAAATCAAATATTTATTTGATCATAAAAACAACACAAAAGGTCAAATATAGTCAAGATTTCGAAGGGGAGAACAGCCAGCTCAGATACAAGGACAAAGACTATATCACCTTGATCCTCTCTATCATTACAGACCTGTTGGGTGTCTCTCTCTCCGAGGTAATATTCACTGATAGAGTGAATAAAACCTGGAGGCAAGGGAGCAAAGACGGCATCAAAGTGAGCTTTTGTGATAAAAAAAGGAAACAAAGGACGGAGTAGGAATCAGAAAATAGGGGAGAGTAAGGAGAGATGGCGGAGGAGGAGGAGAAGACGTGAAGGAAGAGAAGATAATAAAGAGCGGCGGTGAAAGGCGGCGCTGATAATGGAGATGGAGAATGAAGGATATTGGGTTAATGGAGGGAGGTAGAAAGCTGAGGGAAGAGAAGGGAGTGTAATCGACGTCTGACATTAGCGCTTTGCTCTCAGTCAGTCCAGAGCAACAGGGGGGCCCTATAGCAGCAGGGGGGAGTTGGTGAGGTGTCTTTGCATGTATTTGCTTGCCTGTTTGTGTGTGTGTGTGTGTGTGTTTGTGTTGCAAGGCCCCTGAGCTCAGAGCGAGGTAGGTCATTACAGCGAGAATAACCTGAAGATAGACCGAGCCACGGAGTGAGGGAGGGCGAGGAAGCGCAGGAGACACAGGAGACACACAGACAGGGAGGAAAGGAAAGGGGATGTGTGCCAAGAATAATGATAGGCCAATCCAAAGGCTCTATATAGAAGGGACTCGCATTACCAGCTCTAACCAGTTCGCCACACACATTCACACGGTCCGGTGCCAGAGCCCCGCTTTGTAAACACACACACACACACACACACACACACACTCATACATGCATCCAGACCAGAATCCACCTGCTGAGTTCTGACCCGATCTCCCGCAGAGAAAACTGTGTGCTCCGGAGGGTTGTGGAGATCTTGGGTTTCAAGGCAGACAAACAACAAGACAGAGGCAGCGATCGGCTGGCAAACAGAGAGATAGCGTGACAGACAGTTTGATAAATAGACAGACAGATAAAAAAAAGAGAGAGACAGGCAGGCAGGAAGGCCAGTAGGCAGGCAGGCGGAGTGTGTGGTCTGGCGGTTGAAGCAGAGCGGGGTAGCGCTCTTTATGTGGCTAGCTTTAATGCTAAGTAAATACAGTTGTTAAGGTTAGGGAAATAGAGTGTGTTACCTTGACACACACTGCGGCTCAGCCTGCCTGTACTGTACGGGTCACACACACACACACACACACACACACACACACACACACACACACACACTCAGTCTGCAGACATTCCCCTCCATTTTATATGCACTGCTGTCCACTTCATTGCATCAATAAAGAGACCACATGTAAGCGCCTGTGAGATTCGCTGCATACTTATTGCATTCCTCCGGGTTAAGTCTCTGCAGCCTGCAGACCAGCAGAGCTAAAACCATCCCCATTACTCGTGTTGTTGTGGTACAGATCCATAAGGATTGGAATGGTAATTTTAAAAGCTCATGAAAAACACAAATTGTGAAACAGTGGCACTTCTAGACCACTTTTACTGAGGGGAGCCAAACTGGGGCCAGTTGTTTTGTCAGAGGGGAACATTAAACCCAGGTCAAAAATAGACAAAGATGATCGCTTTAAAAAAATATATATATATATTGTGCCACAACATTAAATACCATGATTTATATTTGTTTCAGTATTTAATACTAGATTGTGAGTCCGGTTGTTGAGTCACTGTGTATGTGTTATTAGGGTGGCTCTTCCTTTTGGAGGGGTGGCCACAGGGGGGACCAAGCTCAGTGTCACAGGGGCACTGACCCCTGTTGGCCCCTGCCTAGAACTGCCCATGTTTATGGTGTATGTGTGTGTGTGAATGTGATGAATATTTTCAAATTAAAAGCCTGGGAATTTGAATCTTCTGCAGCTGCTCTTACAAATATAAGTGACAGCTTCTCATTTAATGGTAACACATTATTTATTCTCTATTTAATTTACCACAATTCATTTCATAATCTTTCTAGAATAAAGCCGGATGAAATTTGACTTTTAAAGCTCCAGTGAGTAAATTTGAACTGGTTGTGAATCAGAATAAAATGAATACAGGTGCTTCTATATGACCTACAAGAGCAAACCACAGCATCGAGAAGAAGGTTGTATTTTTATACACTCACTCTTAATGCCTGAAACTGCTGCGACAGGTTCTGTGTCGGACAACAACATTAACAGCATGTTGCAGGAAAAAGATTCACCAGCCCTTTTCAGACTGCTAAACATTGGTGTCCCTGTCCCAGCACGGAGCTCCACATAAACACATCCTGTCTCGCCCCTGCAACGCCTCTGTTACTGCCTCTGGCCCCTGTTGGCCCCTGCCTAAAACCGCCCATGTTGTGAAAGTGTCTGTGTTGTTGCTCTGTTAAATCTGTGATGATTAATATGTTAGCTTCGTTGGATTCTGTGGATGTCGGGGTTAAGATTTGTTCTATGGTTCTTGTTCCAGGCGGCGCAGGAAACTCCACCCAGTCTCGAGGACCCAACAGCTTCGGGAGCGAGGGCACGGATGAGAACGGGCCCCTCCAGCCCTCCAACATTGCCCTCATTGCCGGCGCCGCGGGAGGCTCCGCCTTCCTCCTGCTGGTGACCGCGGTGATCTGCGTGGTGTGCTACAGGCGGAGGCACGCCAAACACTCGGACACCCACCACCCTCCTCTCTCGCTGTCCTCCCTCACCAGCCCCAAGCGGGGCGGGGGCGGCGGCATCTCCAGCTCGAACAACAACGGCTCTGAACCCAGCGACATCATCATCCCCCTGCGGACGTCGGACTCGGCCTACTGCCCGCACTACGAGAAGGTGAGCGGAGACTACGGACACCCCGTCTACATCGTCCAGGAGATGCCGCCACAGAGCCCGGCTAACATCTACTACAAAGTATGAGACGGCCCGCTGCTATGTCCTGCTGGACACGCCCACCTCCCTTTCTCCAACCAACCCCCCCTGCTCCATTTAAAGACACAGTACACCATCACAGCTCCGACCTTGACCCCTCCAGTACTTAGAGTATTGCCTCATGGACCCCCTCCTCACTGCCCTGAGAGATGGCCACAGGTGTGTTCTGGCTGAACAAACCGCCCTGATCCATTCTGACACAACCGGGCCGCCAAGTGTTTGCTAAAGGGCGACGTCGTGTTTGTACGCAGCCCTTCTTAACAAAGGCTCTAATGAGTGGGCAAAAGCCTCTGAGTGCCCCCCCTTCTTGTCAACTCAGAGCTAAACTAGCCCCCACAAATGCTAAATGGAAGAGTTACCCATAATGCCTGTATGTTTGTGTTTTTTCTCAAGGTATGGACCATGCATTGGGACTTGAGATGTTTTATGGAAGAGAAAAAAGAGATTAGAGGGACTACAATAAAAAAAAATAATAATAAAAACTACAACCCTGATCCCACTTTGCACCTGAGAACTCTGATTCCCAGAGGCCATACCTGCCTAGCTCACCGCCCTGCCCCCCCTCAGAGCTCCATCATCAGCCAATCAGAGAGCAGCCTCTGCCACTAAAATCACCAATAGGATTCTAGTTTGTTCGTGTTTGTTTCTCCTGAGAAAAATGGGGGGCCTCTCGGACTCAACCAATCAGCAAGCCCCCCGGGCGGGCTGGCGGTCACATGACCAGGCCCCCGGGGGCTGAGGAGGTCTGACCGACTGGTGACACTCAGAATCTTGTATATTTTAATAATGTGTGTGTATGTGATGAGCGGGCATATGACTATGGGTAATAATGATGGCGCTGCTGCTGCTCCACATTAGTCGTGTGTGTGCAGGTAGTGCGCTTCAGTAAAGCAAGTTTGCATATGAGTTTGCATATGCCTGTGTGGGGGTTTAGTCTGTGTGTGTGTGTGCGTTCGCTTTGTGTGTGTGTGTGAGTGACTGTGTGTGTGCGTGCGTTCTTTAGACTTGTCTTAAATACCAAAACACAAAATAGTGAGCGAATATCAAAAAAGTGAGATTTTTTTATCGCTATCAACACTTATAGATTATATATATGAATATCCAGTAAATCATTTTTAGATGTTTCTTTCTCGTTTTTCTATTGTTTATTATTTCTACCCACTCTGTTAAAATACAGTTCTGTTGCTAGACATTTTTTATCTGCTGTTTTTTTTTTTGGTTTTCACGACTTAGAATGACCTTGTTTCTTTTCCTTTACCCCTCTGCGTTGTATATTAATTTAATCCCCTTTTTCATTTTCCCAGCGATCAGAGGTTGTGTCTCTCTTCCTCTCTTCCCTCTCTCATTTCCTCCCCCCCCCCCCTCCCCCCACCCCTCTAGGGTCTCTGAACTCTATGTATATTTTTATAGCTCCTTGTACTATGCTGTAGTTTTGAAGTTTAGACCTCGTTTGTGGAAGTGTTGAGGTAGAAACCATCTATGAAAGTTTTTTTTCTTTCAAACGCTTTTTTTTTTAAACGCAGAAGTAAAAAGAAGTGAGGGGCACGGGGGTGGGGGTTGGGGGGGGGATGACATTGGGGAAGAAGGGGGATGAAATGAAAAAAGAAGAGTAAAGTAAAAAGAGAAAGAGTGGTGTCTGGGGAGGGGGAATAAAGCGGCGTCTGAATGCAGAACTTTTAAAAAAAGAGAAGGAGAAAGGGAGGGAGAAAAGACTGTGAAGGAATTGCACACTAAAAGAAAAAAGAAGCTGAGGGGAGGGGGGAAGATGGGGAGCAGCAGGAGTGAGAGATGAAAGCTACCGAGGATGGAGAGAGCAGAGGAAGGAGTGGCCGGAGAAGAGGGGGAGAAACCTTTTCTTTGAACGGAGGGTCCGAAACCTCCTGAACGGAGGCAATGGACCAACAGCCAAAACGGATTTCTGAAGAGTTGAACTTTAACCACAGAACGGAGAGATTTCATCACACACTCTCTCTCTCACACACACACACACACATCTACTGTGACTCGGTCACACTTTATGTTGACGTGAGGTGGCGCATTTCAGATTTTTTCCACCAAAATTTGTGTTGAAATGCATCTCTGTATCACACAGGCACTCTCATAGATTCTAAAGACATGCTCAGTACTCTTCAAGCTGCTCACACACACAGTACACTCTGTTTCTCTCTGTTTGACACGCACACACACCGCCTCCCACACACAACCTTACACACATTTCACACCTTTTAATGACTGTCACAAATGCCTACTGATTGCATTGAGTGACATATATTCTCTCTCGCTCCCCGCTTGCTCTCGCTCAGACACGTTCACTCAAACACCTTCACCCACACGCGACAAAATATGCCGATTGCTTTCATATGACTTTTCTGTGATTAAGACTAACCCCATGGACATGGGAGGGAGGAAAGAGCGTCTCCTCACACACACACACACACACACATACACGCACACAATCAAACAAACACGCTAGTGCCCAGCACCTCGACCTAGAGGGCAATAACACAACGCTGTGTTCAGAGGTGCAATATGTTCACATGTGCATATTAAAAAAAGCTGTTTTGTGTTGCTCAAACATGTTTATTGCTTATGTGTAAACTGGGTGGCAGTGGAGACCTTTAAGTTTTTGTTTTTTTCCAGACTCACACACACACACACACACACTCACACACACACATAAGGCCTCCTGTGATGTAGCCCTGTTTTTTCTGTGTGACGCCAGTGTTAAATCTGGACCTTACAGCATTTCTCAACTGTGTTTTGTATCTAACATCTTCTAAAGAGATCTCTTTCATAAAGTGTCACATTCGTCTGATATGACTTTGTTCAACACATGATGATGATGTTCAGATATGTTTTTTTGTAACATGAATGAGTTTGGATTGTATTTGACTGTATTGGATTTTCAAAAATGACATGGGAGGAAAACACCTCAAATTTTCTTTTTTTGTACAACTACCGACTTGTGTTTTTTTTTTCCTTTAATGTATGCTGTTAAGTCTATGTCTATTTAAACATGCTCAGAATACCTAAAATATCCTCCAAGCCAAATGAAGTGTCTGTTTTCTCTCTTCAACAACTCTGTTGTGCCCTCCAATTCACAATGACAGTATTTTTTTTTTTTTTTTTTGGCACATGGCTGCCTCCACATGAGGGGGAGAACACGACTTCTTGGACTTAACGGTGTCTGACCGACAAAAAAGAAGCAACTGCCCCGTATTCCGGCAATTTTTTTTTTTCGCTCCCGCCTCCCTCTCAGCAGTATCTCTGTTTTTTTTTGTTCCTGTATCGTTTGATTTCATGTTGTCGTTATTTCAAAGTTGTGTCTCTGGCTCTCACTGTTTGTGTTTGACTGGCCGACTCAACATGTTGGCTTTTCTAAAAACCACGGCCGCTGGTTGTCATGTAGAAAAAAGAGAAAGAAGAAAAAGTGCTGTTTCTATGGAACGTGGGGGAAAGAGAGAGAAAAAAAAAGAAGCTACCGCCGAGCCCCTCCTCACCTCTCCATTGGTGAAAGTGTGAGTGTGTGTGTACATGTGTGTGAGTGTGTGTTCCTTTGTGCCAATAGACAGCGAGTGGGGCGAGGTGGCTCTCCTATGTAACGTGTTGAGACTTTGTATTTGGGACACCTCTGTGTGAGAAGGTTTTTTTTGTGTCCTCTCCTCCTCTTCTTCTCTCCTCCTTACCCCTTGTCTACTCATCACGGCGACCCCTGATCCCCCCCCCCCCCCTCCCTCTTCTCTTCTCTCCCCCCCCCAACACACCTCTAAAGAGAGGAAAAAACTAGTACATTCCTGGTTTGGAAAAAAAAAAGGTTGAATAAAAAAAAAAAAAATGTTTAAGCACCAGTCTTTTGGTCCTGTTGTGTGATTCATTATTGTGTGAGGGTCTGCAGCGGTCTTTTGTGCTGCTCCTGTGTGCATTTTTTGTGTGTGTGTGTGTGTGTGTGTGTGTGTGTGTGTGTGTGTGTGTGTGTGTGTGTGTGTGTGTGTGTGTGTGTGTGTGTGTGTGTGTGTGTGCTGGAGTATGTGTGAGTTCCTGAGGCCCGCTGGCAGCCTGGCCTTTAATAGAAGGTCTTTCCCCTTATCTCTGCTATGGGCTTGTCTCAGCAGGGGCTCTTTCACTGCCTCTGCTAATAACACTGCCATTACACACACACACACACACACACACACACACACAGTGGCTCTCCCACCGGTGTTATCAACAAGTTATCAAACCCCGGCTTCGTTAGTGTTGGAGTGTTGCCTGGCAACGCATTGACAGAGCTGATTTGGTTCTCTGTCTCCCTCTTTAAAACCCCACTTATTTCCCCTTCTCTCCCACTAGCTTTGTGGTACCGTTCCCATGGTAACTGTTAGCGTCTTTTGCTCCCTTACAAAATTTGTTTCATCCGGTTGCATATGTGTATCAGTGTGAGGGGATTTTAAAAGCCTTTAAGAGAGTACAGAGTGCCACCAGGGTGGCCTATAGGTTGAGATGACCAGCAGCTGCTTTTAACCCTTTGATCTGTGATGTGTGAGAGTACATCCCACACACACACACACACACACACACACACACAGGTTCAATAACCGCAACTACACAAACACCATTATGCCCTTATTCAATCTTATGCACTGCCACACACACAAACACACCAGCATTGATCCTGGCAGACACTTGTTGCTGCCTTTACCATGACAACCCATCATCGTCACTGATGCCAGGTATAGACTACAATAAAGGTTGGTAACCAGTAAACAAGCTTTTACCTCTCAGCTTCCTAAAGCTGCTTATTTACCAAACATCTTCAGTACATCCTTTTGCAGCATTTCGTTCATTGATTCTTCCTCTTTTAAACACACCTCAGCAGTAAATTGTCAACCATAATCTCACAAGCTGTAATCATATCCTTCTAAAAAAACAAAAACTGGTTATTTACCCTGACTAGGGATCGGAAATGAGAACTGGTTTCTAATTAGACCTGGGTGCGTCAATCCTTTTTCCAACCCACTTCAGATGAAACCACACTCACCACTGTTTGGTACAAGCCTCGACAGCTGCAATACCATCAAATCAGGGCTCACACTGGTAAAAGAAAAATATGACAGCCACAGCATCTTAATAATAATGGCATTACAGGAAATGAATAAACTTGTTATTAGGCCACAAATGAGGAACACATAAATAGCTAAGATTGCTCAGTCCAAGCTGTATGTTTGTTTGTGTCTGTTGTTTCTGTAAAGCTAATCATTGAGAAGTTATAACTGGTAGGTGAGCTACTTTTACATGATTCCATCTCAGCCTTATTTGATTGCAATAAGTTCCAAGGCCTTATAATGAGAAATGATTGGCTTCACACTAACATGGTTATACCACTGATAAAGTATCAGTTTTCTAATGCTGTCATTGTGTTCAATTGAAACTACTAAAGGGTTTAAAGTGTTGACACATGCACGCATTCTGTGTTATAGGAGTATTGTTTTGCCTTCACCACATTGTGTTACTTTCCAAGCAACTTGGACTTGGTGCACCAAAAGACTTGAGTGATTTGGGTTTTTATTTTGCAAGCATACAATTGCACACCAATGGAATGACAAACAGGAGCAATTTGAGGTTCAGGGTCCTGGCCAAGGTCACATTTATTTGTGGGCTGTGATTGGACCACCAGCTACTGGAGTGTTGCAAATCAGCCTCCAAAATGTGTTACAAAGTCTCACTTAATCTAACCGCTTAGCTCACCAAAAGCATGTAAGACCGACACACCTATAGGTTAATGCATCAACTGTGCTTGATTGACTGAAATCCTGTGAGTGATGCTCAAATAATACAATCATTGAACTTTCACACCTGTAAATGGTAAATGGACCCTTAGCTTATATAGTGCGTTTCTAGTCTTCTGACTACTAAATAGTCATTTTACCCCACAGGTCACTCCTCCACATTCACACACTGATAGTAGAGGCTGATATTCAAAGTGTCCATTAGTCCATTCATACGGCGCCGACGAGGCAGTGGGAGCAACTTTTGGGTGAAGTTTCTTGCCCGAGGACACATCAGACAAGTGTCTCTAGGAGCTGGGGATTGAACCCCAAACCTTCTGGTTGAGAAACAACTGACTCTGGGGCGCTGGTAGCACAGTGGTTAGTGGCTGTGGTCCTTCAAGCTGGCAGCCCAGTTTTGAATCCCACCTGTGGCTCCTTTCCCGCATATCATTCCCCACTCTCTGTCTCCCGGATTTTTAGACTCTATCCACTTTACTATCTCTCCATTAAAGGCACAAAATGCCCAAAAAAATATTTTAAAAAAGGGAAACGACCGACTCTAACCACTAATCCACAGCTACCCCTCTATGTACATTTATAGTCTATGTGGAGTTTGGTGACATCATGTAAAACCTTGCATGGTTCACACACCTCCAAACTGGGCATGGTAAGCAACATTGTGTTAACCAACATGAAATGGTTTGGTTTATTCATTTCCCATGATACTGAAAATAGCCTTCAGAGGATTATATCACTTTGATATGTTGTATTTCTAATATAAAACAACTAAAAACAGGGAAGCTAATAGCTGGCAACAAATCACCAATTCTAGTAGCAAACCAGTAGCAATAATGTCTCACCACTGGTGCTAATCCATGGAAACCAGTAGCAGTATTCCCCTCAAAGAGGAACTAATGCTAATCTAATGGCTGTTAAGCTGTAATGAGTTTGCTTGCTTCTTTCCAGTGGAGTTTAAAAGAGGCCTGTTTAGACTATCGGGACTGCTGTGGTCCCCTTATCATTACATGCTCATCATTACTCCTGCTAATCTGTTCTGCTCAATGCACACACAGATGAATATTAATGCCAGGGAGGATGATAGCCGCGTGTGTGTGTGTGTGTGTGTGTGTGTCCCGCATGAACACACTCAGACAGATGCAGATAGGCACCAAAAGTTGGAAACGGCACACAAAGAGAGACGCGCACACATCGTCCGTGCTCTCGCTGCTTTGCCAAGTGAGACGACTGAGCCTCCTCTTCTCAACTCCGTCGAGGAAGGGAAAGCTTGATACGTCGCACGCGCATGAAGCACACACACACATCGTTTCCTTCCCCGATACTACTTTTATCACAACGACTAAAGGGTGGAAAGAGAAAATAATCAGTTTTAAGTGAAATCAATAGAGAGATAATCCCCCCAAATTAGATTTTTTGAAAAGCTTTGCTGCCGACGAGCAACTTAAAAAACCCAAGGATGGGCCCACTCGACTTACCAAGGAAACAATCCTCAAGTGAGACGCAGTTACCATGGGAATGAGCGAAGGTCAAGGATAAAGAGGAGTGCGAGGGAGAATGGGAAAGAGAGAGGGACGATGCTCTAAAATCAAAGAAGTACACCCAGGAATCTGCATAGTGGATCGGGGTAAAACTGCAGTGATTTCAATGTCACTGTGATGAAAGTAGTGCAGCCCCTTTAGCACCCTGAGGAGAAGAGTCAGCACCTGGAGCGGGGGACGTCTCGCACCTGACAGACCTGAAATGTCAAGTCATGATCAGAAGAGATGAAGGGTTAAAAGGTCAAGCGTTCTGATTGGATGCAGAGGCCTTTTATGCGTGAAGCCAGACCTGGAGGCGGACAGATAGCTGTGGCAGAGAGTAATTAAACCTCAGCAGCAGAGAAGAAATTATCAGGAGAAAATCCATGATTTTACAGTACTGATGCTGCCAGCCTCAACATTTGCTCTTGTTGCCCTCTCTCTCTATTTTTTCTCTGCTCTCTGTCTAGCTCACTTTCTCTCCCCTTTCACCACCTGACTCTCACTCGTCTTTTGTCTTCTTTTTTTTTTCCTCCCCCGCTGCTGTTTTCCACCCATATACCTCCCTGGATCTTTCACTTTCTGCACCTTTCCCCCTGCCATCTCAGAGTGAGAAATATGTAACAGTTAATAACAGGCCTGATGACAAGTGCAGCTGCGATCTGCAAAATTCAGAGCTGATGGAGGGCAGTAAGAGAAAGGAGAAGAGAGGGAGGGAGGGGTAAACGGTTAGAGAATAGCTTGCTTGCACAGCGGGAGGGGGGGTTGTACATTATTTGACTGCGTTAATTTCAGATGATTAACTTGTTAATATTCCTGAGTAGATAGCCCTCCATGTTGTGGACAAGAGAAAGCCCTGTAATGCCTCTCTGGTTGTCACGCAAACAGCTCCCTAACCCCTCCACCACACACACACGCACAAACGCACTCACACGCACGCACTCGCACGCACGCACACACACACACACACACACACACACACACACACACACACACACACACACACACACACACACACACACACACACACACACACACACACACACACACACACACACATTTGTGTTCATTTCAAAAGCTGCATCTCTTAATGTAATCCTCAGCTGCTGTAGAAAGATCTCCAGACTGATGTTGCTCTTTATTTTTTTTCTCTCTTCACACATATTTTGAAAGAGTAAAAGACGAGCATATATCATGTTCCAGAGAGAACAAATGTACCGTTTAATCGACCCCTCCCCGCCTAACAAGTGATCGTCCAATCATAACTAAACCACCATAAATAGGCACAGCAGGCCTGTCAAAGTGCAGATGTCTTCACATGCTTCAACAGTTTGCATGAAACTCTCGTTGGAGTTTGTAAGTATGACTAACAAGCTCACTAATAACATGCTGAAAATGATCTCCAAGGTGAAAACAAAACATTATATAACAAAGGCTA